GGGGGTGTCATGACACATTCTTAGAAAATCGGTGGAGGCAAAAATTCTTGAACGCCACCTCTAGAAACCGCACAAATTAAGGGATCTTAATAGGGAGAAAAAATTTAATGTAAAAATTGCACGTTTATGCATCAGCAATTTTGGTAATTTGCACAGAACAGAACACCTCTAATAATGTAACAACATGTTATACGTACACCAATGTGCGAAGTATAATAAAAAAATCCCAAACCCACGATAAAAACATGGTCGTGCACAATATCTATCTAGCTGAAAATTTACTTAACAAATGTACAGTGAATGAAGCTGTTAGGGGCCGCTAGAATAGCGAATGGACAAAATGAAGTATGAAAAAAAAAGATTCGCCTTGATATTATTTGCCACCGATGTTTCTTTCATATCTGGCGATTCCGTGATCACGAAATTGTTTTAGACTGAATAGGCACTTAATGCGATGACGAAATTATTTCAAGATTAATAAAATTAAAATATGGTTTTTAACACATTAAAATTTGCAGTCTGAGTGCACGTGCTCATGTGCGTTTATTGAGCGGCCGCTACTCCATTTGTTTTTTGTAAACCCTGTGTAGGTAAAAACAAATTTGTTAATAAGACAACATGCTCATCATAATTAATAAACAATTTTTAAAAGAATGTAAAAAACTCCACAAACTTTTAAGTTTAGTGTAGTATACTCGTTAGGAGTAGTTCATAATTTAGCCGTTTGAACTTTGGAATTCCCTCTGTCTTATTAGTCGATTTAAAACTAAAATTGTATAGTTCATAACTAAGTAAAAAGAATAATAGATCAAAAAGTGAAAAAGCAAATAATTTTAAAACCAGTAATAATATTTTTAATTGTTTCAAGAAAATTAATTTGATTCGGTTGATCACACTGCTCACTGTTAGCCTGGTGAAAGGTGACGTTGACGTGACGTTGCCAATCGCTTCGTGTTTTGATTTTGTTTGTATTCGTACAAGTTTATAACTTACATGTTATATTCTTCATATTATTCATATAATAGTGGTAATTTCTTTATATAAAGTGCATTCAATATCTCCTGAACATTAGTGTTAATTGTTTTACAATACAAATGTTATAAAAATTGCGTCACTTTATCAAGGGGTATCACTGGCTAATAGCTTCTATTCACCAATTTGCTGAATTTTATTAGAAAATGTAGCCTCGAGATTACAAATTCTCATCAATAGGTATCGAAAAACGTTTTGATGACCAAAAACATATTTGAACCTTTATTTGTGCCGTAAGTTTACACTCCGTTATGGCGCCTTTACCGTTAGAAGGGCTACAAAACCCTGTAGCCAATACAATTGGCCAAGGGGCGATGAGTGGGCCCCAAGAAGGAAACAGGGGTGGAATGATGTCGTTAGCCATGCTCATTGACTTCATCATTCAAAGAACATACCATGAATTGACTGTACTGGCAGAATTGTAAGTATTTTGTTCGTTAATGGACCACGTTTTCCTTTCAACGCAAATAGTTTTCCGTGTGAGCAATTTCGTATTAATTGGGGGTTAATAAGAAATAGTTCTTATATACAGAGTGTCCGAAATTACAGGGACAAAAGACAGGAACAAATATTTATTGGTTAATGGGCTTTCAAATTTAAGACCGGAGGTACTTTTTTCCAGTGTTATGGTCATATAGTTTTTATTTATTGCCTCAGTAATTGTGGAAATCAGAATTATGATTACATCTACTAAGTAACTTTTTATCCTCAATTAGATAACGCAAATATAATGTTGGAAATACGAATCAACCAAAATCAAATATATTTTTAGGCATGCATTGGAATGTTGAAATGCATCTTCTCAGTTGAAGTTGAACAAGAGTACCTTTTTTTACCTTTAAACATTAAATTAGAATCCTGACTGATGAACATCACTGCTGATGAATATGCCAAGATGAGTTTTATTCTTTCATTTTACTTTGGTCAGTTCTTGAGGTATTAAATAAAATCCCTATTTAGGCCTCGATTATTGGAGGACTATAGCTTAGTTCCAGTTCAATGAGCAATTTAGTACCCATTTCCCAGGAAACTTTTTACTTATTTTTTTCCTCGAAAGTGCCACTCAACATCCAATTCAAATTTTACCATTCAATGGTTCTCATTTATTCTAAGTACATGTATCCTAAATTGTTTCAGGACAACCAATACTTTTTAATTTTAAGTAATATTTCATATACATACCTATTAGTGTGAAATAGTTTGTTTGCGTCTAAACTGGTAGATAGATAGATATAAGATAAAAATCCCATGTTTCCTTAATTTTGCGATCTGCATATGCTAAAATAATTTTCAATACAAGCACTAACAACGTCAACTTATTGCTCAATTTGAACTAAATTTCTAATCTGTTACATTAACGGCAGGCGCAATTATTGAAATAAAGAACATCTTTTTAATAAATATATTTTTCATTCTCCATGTACTGAGCTAATGTAGAAGGTGTTACGTACAACAAAAATAAAGAATAACAAAACAACTACAAATAACCGGAAATAAAATGTATATAAAAATGCACTGACTGTTTTCTTAAGTTTAGTTCGGGTGCAAGGGCACCCGCAAAATTTTCTGAACGGAAAATTGTTCTGCGAAAAAAATCTCGCCATGTACGTTTTCAAACTTACATTTAAAAAAATAAATTAAGTATATTCTAGATTGTGAATTATAGGTAACATAGGATAACAACAAATAATAAGTTTGCACAAAAACTTGTGATGTGTGTTGGTCAGTTTTAGCTTTAAGCGCACGATATCTTGATTTATCTAATGCATCCAAAACAGTGCAATTATAGTTTTATATGTGTTCATTCCAGATTGCCTAGAAAAACTGACATGGAGAGAAAGATCGAAATTTACAATTTTTCAACGAGAACAAGACAATTGTTTGTTCGGCTTCTAGCGTTAGTTAAATGGGCTAATAGTGCTTCCAAGGTGGAAAAATCTGCGGTAAGATAGAGTTTCTATCAATAATTTCTAATAGTTACCATCCAATTTTTTAAACTGTGTTTTTCATTTCTAATCATTTTCTTGTATTTGGCTTCTCTTTATTTTCTGGCTTTGTGCAACTTTTATAGGTAACGATGCTTTCATTACCTTTATGTTGCTACCGACATCGAAACGTTTCCTAATTTTATTTTCAATATTTAATTTCAATTTCATTTTGATCGATTTTCTTTTGCAGAGAATTATGGGTTTTTTGGACAAACAATCACTACTATTCGTCGAAACAGCAGATATGTTAGCCAGAATGGCTCGTGAAACACTTGTTCAAGCCCGACTACCCAATTTTCATATTCCTGCTGCTGTTGAAGTTTTGACTACCGGTACTTACGGAAGATTGCCAGCATGTATCAAGGAAAAGATTGTTCCACCTGACCCCATTACACCGCAAGAAAAGAAAATGACACTTCTCAGACTCAATCAAGTTATTCAGCATAGATTAGTAACCGGCAACTTGATGTCGCAAATGAGAAATTTGAAGATTGAAAATGGCAGAGTAACTTTTACAGTACAACATGAGTTTGAGGTAGCTTTAACGGTGATGGGCGATGGACCCACTATTCCCTGGAGATTACTAGAAATCAACATCCTAGTTGAAGATAAAGAAACTGGTGATGGCAAAGCGTTAGTTCATCCTTTGCAAGTGCAATATATTCATCAACTTATTCAAGCAAGACTAGTAGATAATCCGCAGCCATTGGCAGAAGTTTACAACTGCTTGCACTTTTTTTGCCAGTCGTTACAATTGGAAGTTTTATACTCGCAGACCTTACGACTAATGCGAGACAGATTAGACGATCATATTCACGTGGATGAATACATTCCCGGGCGAAGCTTGACGGTCTCGTATTGGCGCGATTTGAGGTCAGAAATTGGCTATAAATTGACTGTTCAAGTAGATCAGCATGATCCCGCAAGACCTCTGGCGGTTTTGCATGTCCCTTCATTAGGGAATAAGGTAAATGTCTTCAACATATTTTTTTTTCAAATTGTGCATATACAAAACGCATTAGTGTGTAATTATTAATAATTGTAGGAATCTGAAATAGCAGACCGAGCTATAAGAAGTGAAGTGCTATCAATGGAACGTTTGCTAGTTCATACAATTTATATGCGTACTCGTAGTCGATTGGATGACATACAATTGGAGCTGCAAGAGCTGATCAAAAACGCTGAATGTAAGTTTATCTACTGGATAGAATTGTACCAATTTGGTAATTTTTTTTTTGCTTTTTAGGCTTAGTTCAAGGATCACCAGCCGTTCTCAATGTGGCTATCTTACAGCCTTGCTTAAGGGCTGAACAGGTTCTAATAACTATCGATACTCATACTGGTATGATTCAATGCCACGTTCCTCTGTATGATCCGCCAATAGTGCCCGAGATCAATAACATTTTGAATGGGAATCGAGCGAAACTCTTACCGTACATATCAGAACTAAGGTATGTATTTAACAGCATCTGTGGTTTTTCTCAATTTTAATCTTATATCATTTTTAGGTATTGGATTACCAAAAGAAGATGCGAACAAACTTTGCAACATCTACCAGCGTCTGCTCATGAACGGTTACCACTTCTTCACGCTCCTGATCATCCTATTACTAAAATTGGAAAGCACAACATGTATATTCAGTTCCATAGGCATACCAACGTAATACTTGTAAGTATTATGATTTTTTTAGTTAAACATTTGTATACTATTGCAGTAGATATAAATCGCTGTTGGCTTGCGGTATAATGTTAACCTGAACCTATTTTTTATAAGTACTTTTAGCGAAAATTGTTAGGTACACAGTGATCTCGCTTGCTAGGATATTCACAAGATCGAAACGAGACATTTATCTAATATTTACATTGTCATCTGGAAGCATTTAAGACATGTTTTGCAAATACAAGCCTGAATTGACAAGCTTTACGAGATTTACTCTTATATTTAAATGATTTTTTAAATTTCAGATAGTCGAATTTAAGGAAAAAGAAAGCAATCCTTGTATAGTTGATTGTTCATTTCATCTATGCGTAGTAAAGCATTCCAGTATTGAAGATAATCCGAAAGACGATTCTATAGAAACGGAAATACCAAAGGTGTTCCTTAAAGTTCAAACTCTCATCGAATTTGATACATTTGTTGCAACACACGGACCCTTCACTGCCATAGATGGTAAGCACGTGATACAGTTATTTATCAAATAAACTTCACATGGTACGAAGTTCATGTGATATCGAATATCACACGGTCCATCGCAATTTAAGACCTGTGATTGGCTAGCCATGCGACGTTTAGTATGAAGTATACCAACGACGAAACTAACATAACCTTACTTTGTGTTATTTACTTATTTATTTTGTACTAGTTTGTAAAAATTCAACATGTAACCAGGGGCAACAAAATGCTATGCTTACTGAAAGCTGCCCAGTGCCACCTGGAAAGAAAGAATAAAATGTCTTTAGTACAGCAGGAAATCTGTCCAAAGCCAAACTTATTTGAAATCAGCAAAGCAAAGAGATAGCAATATAAAGAATCCATAAAACTTCAGTTGCTTTCTCTCTTCTTAGGAAAACTAAACTCAGTTCTAGCTAAAAGATTTATAGTTTAGAGATCATTCTTACCAGCTTTTTGGAAGCTGGGGCCCCATCCTCCATTTTCTACTTCTCAATCCTCAAAAAGTTCACTACATTTTCACAAACTACTGCACTTGCCATAAGGGCGACAATGGTTCTGTATTTTCCATCTAAGAACGCGATTCACAGGACACAAAATATTATTTGACCGATTTCGTCCACTGTCGGTAGAAAACTGCATATTCATACACCTTTTCGAAGAAAAAAAAACCGAAGTACAGAATAAACATGATTTTAAATAATCATTTCTGTGTTCGCCTTTTCGATAATTCATTGCTTTGCTCTTGCTTGGCAGTTCGACTTCAATTTGTTTATTGTTGATATTTTTGTAGAAAGTGCCTCTTCGCATTGCAATGTTTCCAAAGGCAAATTTGACGATCACGTTCCAACTTGACGAAAGTCAACAACTAAATAAAAGTATCTTTCAGTAATTTCATTTTAAATCTAGAGCCATTTATATTTGATCAAATACGTTTTTTGTAATGAAGTGTGTATGTAAATATTAATTAAGGCCAAGCGCATTAGACAATTACGTCATTATCAGTGCCGTCGCCAAATCACAAGCAAACATCCTCAAGCGCATCAAACAAAACATGCCAAACAATGGTCCAAAAATGGTTAAAAACTGGCTAAAATGGTTAAAATTGTATATAACAGGTTCGGTGCTTTAACTGGGGCAAGTACAATACTTGAACTGTGACCCAGAAATGACAAACAGCTGAAGCTTTCTTATTCTATGCCGTCTTTCTATTCAAGTGCAAATTGTATAGATTAAAAATTATGTGAATATGAATATTGGGCCCTAATTCTGGGCCACTCTGGTTCTGTGAACTTAGATAGTTTTGAGGACTCAAAAAATTATTTTAGAATTTAGAATGTTGTGTCAATCATGATTATTTTAGGTGATTCAGACGACCAAGCAGAAGCTCACCCGCTAAAACGTAAAGGAGAAATGGTAATAGAATCGGCCACGAAACGCAATAAACAGCCGGCTTATTTCATTCCGGAATTAGCTCATGTGGTGGCTATGTGCGACGAGCGTTTACCCTACGTTACATTGGCTAGTGAATTGACCAGAAGAGACATTTTCCATCAAGGCCTGCAAGTGGAGGCAAACGCAACTGGTTTAGTATTGAAATTAATTCAGTTGCCCCCTCCAACATCTGAAATAGGAGGTTCTGCTGCGTGGTTCGCTCTACTGAAGCGACTGTTATCCGTTTCTATTCGAGTTGTGGGAAAAAATAATGCAAAAAGTTGGCTGGTCGAGTTTGTGTTTTACGCGTCACCGTTAACCAGTAGCCATGCGAAGGAACAGGGATCCCGAAGGCCGATCTACTTCCAATACGAAATGCTAAGCGCCGATCAAACTTCGAAAACCGTGGAAAACCTGTTAAATGATTGGTGGAAAATAGTCCAGCTTTATACACTGGTACATGATTTGAGCGAGTATCTGAAAATGGATAAGTTTAGCTTCTTCTGTAATATGTTTTCAATCCGCTGTTACAACTATGCGAAGTTAGTCATATGCTATGGGCCAGATAAGGGAGCAATGGTGTCCTTGGTGTGGGATTGCAAAAGTAATTTATTCAAGCTGACGTTCGGCGCGATGCAGAACTCACTGAACGCTCACTCATTAATTCAAGAACAGCTAGAGTCGCACTTGAATGAATTTAGAAACTTGGCTCAGATAATTCAGCTGCTAACAGAAACATACGAGCCTTTAGTATCCCTAAGCAAATTGCCCACTTTACCGCAACTGGGAGTCCATAATGTGAACCACAAGGTACCCGTTCAAACTTTCACAATCATGGCTCAATCGTGCATACTGATTCGCTTGACATTTCAAGGAATGTATTGCTTAGAGTTGAAAATTCGGGGCGGTGGACTAGTTTCAATACGGGATGGTGCTTACAGCCTGTTTGACATGTGCAACGTATTGAGTGTCTTTTTTCCCACGCCGGGTTTGAAAACGTTTTTGTCCAAGTATATTGATGAAAATGCTGTTTTCCGACGTAGGAGTCAAAGTGAAGATGACAATCCGCCGAGTCCCGTAGAAATTGATGGAGGCAATTTCTTGGGTTCGCATCGACCTCCGCAGTCTCCAGCTGGTGGATCTAGATCAGAACCAGGCCTTCGTTTCCATCCGCCATTGACTCCCCCATCTGGTTCGAATCCGCATACTCCAGCGTCACCTCACACCGCCAATATGTCCCAGACCACCCATAATGGGTTTGGCTCCAGTCCTGCCACATCTTTTAATTTGGCTTCTCCGACATCCCTGTCCAGCAATATTAATCCTAGCCCGATGCCACATCCCAGTCCATCCGGTTTGGTTCCCAATTCTCCTCTTAATCCCCAGTTGGCTAGTCCGGGAGGTTTGCTAAGTAATTCAAGCCCTGGTCCTCAACAAGGAGGAACTACCAATATTCCTGGACATTCGCCGGTTGGCAGCTACATTCCATCTAATCATACGGATGGGAGTCCTTTTCCAGCATCTCAAAGTCCTGCGGCTTCAAACTGGCCCGGTTCGCCTGGAATGCCGAGACCGTCTCCAGTAAGACCCGGCCAATCTCCCGGGGGCCCGGTCTTGCACAGTCCCCAACAAATGGATTTAAAATCCGGAAATCATTTGGCTAGAGTATTGCCACCCCGATCCTGGGCTGGAGCAGTTCCAACGTTACTCACTCATGAAGCTTTGGAAACGCTATGCTGTCCATCACCGCATCCTCTTGGTATCCCCGGACCTGAAATGAGTCCTTTAGAGCGTTTCCTGGGCTGTGTCTGCATGAGGAAACAGCTGCAACGTTTCGTTCATAACGAAAACTATCTGACGATTATTTCAACACAAGAGCCTGGAGTGATTCACTTCAAAGTCAATGACATTCTACAATGCAGAGTGGGTTTGAACACCCAACATTTGCAAAGTCTTCACATTAAAATCTCCCAATTGGCCGAGCACAAGGAAATATGGTCACCTGAAGAACTGCAGGTTTTGGAACGATTTTTTGAAACCAGGGCAGCCGCGCCGCCTTACAAGCCTACGTCCATGTTTACGTTCTGTAGCATGCTGAATTCGCCTCCAAACGTACTTAAGGACTTCATACAAATTATGCGTCTCGATATGATGCCGCATTTAGCTCAACAACAAGGTATGAAGTGGTCAGTCCAGTGGCTGCTGAGGATTCCACCAAATGCCCTACCGATTGTACCTACTGGTACTCAAGGGGTTCTGGCTATTAGGAATAAAATTTTGTTTTTCGTAAGTGGCTTTCTTTCTAAAACTATCTTGATTTTCTATTTTCGTTGATTTTATGTTAATTTATCATTGCAGATACAAATAACCAGGCTTGGTTATCCTGCCAATGCAGACCCGCCCTCCATTGTTCTGCCTCTTATCTACGACATTGCCGGTAATATAACCCAATTAGCTGAAAAGCGAGATATCGGGTCTCCTCCTGCAATGACCGCGGCCGGCCAAGTGTTGCGCCACTTTTGCCAAATGCAGGTGAGTTTTCACAACCCCTCTAGTCTCAAATGGTGCATTTTTGAAGTTATAACTTCTTATGACACGGTCTCCAAACCCATTGGAATGCGTTACGCCGCCCTTATGTCTGGCGTAGATAAAGACAAGTAGATACGAGTTCTCCCTTACGATCCTTAACGTTCCATTTGGCCGTGTGTATATATACAGGGCGATTAAAAATTGCGTCATTTCTTTGAGGGGGTTTTAAGAGTGCAAAAAATAGTAAAAAACATTAATTGTTATTAAAAACGGATATATATCATCACATATCTGAACAGCCATTGGTTTAATGTGTCCTTGTGCAGTGCGTATCTTACATACGTGGTAGGAATGTAGCCCTTCCTCTAGTTGTTCTGCAATGCTGTAAGTGCCTCTGGAAGGCTCTGCTGCAATTAGGTCCAATACTTGTTCCTCTGTATCTGGAACCCGAACATCTATTGTCGTCCACTATCTTCCTGGAGCCGATCTCCAGTGTCTCTAGCCCTTTGTTGGCGTGAGTTGTTAAAGCTTCTGCTATCTTACTGTGGCATTTCCCGAGAACTAAACGCATATCCGCAAATTCGTGAAAGGAGCTTCAAAATAAGTCGTAGTTTGACAAAGGCTATCTATCTGTAACTATCTGTTATGACAAAAAATATCATTGTCGCTTTGACTTTTCATCAAGAAATTATAGAAGAGAACTTTTGTAATATACAAATTTTTCGTAGTTTGGACCAAAGATCGTAATTTTTCTTTTTGAATGCTTAAGTATTCTTAATATGCTACCATTTAAACATACGACAATTTCAAAATAATGCTTAAAATCAAAGTCGCAATTCGATTTTCAACTGTTATCTATAAATTTTCGAAAAATTTTTTTAAATATTTTTTTCGTACTCTTCAAGTGAGCCTCTATTACCCTTTAAAAGGGATGACGCCAATTTTGAATCATCCTGCATAATAGTGTGTAGTCTGGGGGACGATGTCCATTGGACGCGTTTTCGTCCGAACTGCATTCATTAGAAATCGTGCGAGAAGGAGCAAATGATCCAATTTCATTGTAACATATAGAAGCTCGTCCTCGATCCGAAATCATTCGTACGAAAATTCACGAACTATTGTGAGAAAACTGTGCCGGACGTCTTTTGGAAGCATTTCGTCAGATTTCGCATATGTGGATATCGTCCACTGCAAGTTTTCTTATCGTACGAATTGGTCATGTGTTGTTATGTATTGAATAAGCAGATTTATACAGGGTAATTACATAATAAACAGCGTAATTATACAACTGTTAATAATAATGGATGATTTTCTTTTAGAAAAATAGTTATCTTGTGAGGAACTATTGAGTTGCTGATACATTAACAAAACGAAAATAATTTGGAGAATTCCATTATTTATATGAAGATTTAAAAAACAATTAGAAAGACTTATTAGTTTTTCAACATTCTTTCAGCTCGGTGTGCCAAAAATATTCTCTTCAGCCAGAAAAAATTACATTACACACGCAGACACTCACAGTAATTTGTTTCGGATAGTTCGCATATTGCAATGGTTAGGCAATTCGAACGAATGACTTTAGATCTACTTGACGAGCTCCAGTACGTTGCAATGAAATTGAATCATCCCCTGTCTTTTTCCCACGATTTCTGACGAACGGAGTTCGGACGAAAACACATCCAAAAGACGACCGAACTTAAGGTTTCAGTTTTCTTGGGCAAAACTACTATATATTACCATTCATTCTAAGAGATTTTAATGTTGATTTTTCATCTGATAGAGTGCAAAATGTAATGTCATTTCTTGAATTAAAGGTAGCAAATAATGCAGAGCAAGCTACAATCGAGCAAGATAAAATTGAATGTCATAATTCGTTTCGTATTACAGTTATCATAAACCAATTGTCACTTTCGTAGGATTAGTTAGTGATAACGTAAATACCAGCGAGTCTGGACTGCACCTATTGAAGAATGTTAAATGTTGTAAATACATTATACATATTACCTACATTCAAAACGAAATTAAATTTCATTTTACCCATTCCTAATCCATTTATAAATGACTAGACTAACAAGAATGTTGAAATTATAAATCAGTATTACCAGCATGCGTTAATCAAGTTCTGTGGCCCACACTTTTTACTTTTTGTTTTCTGTTACAGGCTGGAACGGTTGAATGTACAGTTTATCCTGCTCTAAGAGAAATCCTAATGAACCTCACGTTTCCATCCGATCCACAACAGCCGTCGCCCCAGCAGGGCGGAGTGCAACAGATTCAGTCTCCGGCAATGTCGATGCCTGGACAAGGCGGAAATCCTGGCTATCCCCCTCATATGCAGGTAGGAATGATGGGGCCCCAATAGTATTTGCTGGAACAGGCGTGTTGGGGACAGATAAGACGTAACTCGTTCTAAGAGGCAGCATGGTGGAAGTACAATTTGTAAAAATGAAATTGCATTCTTTAATTGTGAGAACTTACACTTGTAAATATCATAACTATTTTTAATAGCGCGAACATAAGTGCTCCATGTGAGTAAGTTCTTGTACATTTTCTATTTTAATATTCAATGTGGCTGTTTACAATGCAGCAGTTTGAGGTTGTTTTTTTTTAATTGATGAGGGCCATTTGCAAAGTTAAAATGTAAAATATATGGCTTAATAATTTTTTGTTTTACTACGCCAGTGGAATATTGCGTTTTTTCTAAAGCGAAGTTTCCTACAGACGATTGAGAAAACGAACACTTTGTGTGCTGGAGCTTTCCAGATGATTAAACAGTTTTACTCAGGATAAAAATTTTATCAATAGCTTATAACCGTGTGAAAGATTATGATGTAAAAATATACAGTGAGCGGCAAATATATTGCGTGCAATTATAAAAAATCAGGTGTTTATTTTGAGAAAAAATGCTTGGATCCGTCGATTTTTGTTTTTAATTGCGCTAATTTTCATTTATACAGTGTGACCCAAAAATGTTATATCAAGACCAGCTTTTTGTAATGTTATCCAGTTCTCTACAACATTCTAATCAATTATTATGTAGCATACCCTATACTTATTTTTAACTGTTGTTGAAAAATTGCCATCCAAATTTATAAACTAATTGAAATTAAGACTAAAAGAGCTAAATTAAGTGCCCATGTACAAACTCATATTTATTTACATAAACCTTGGATTTTAAATAAGCCCATCAGAAGTATATAATCCAGGAGTGCAAGGCCTGTTGTCAAGAAACCAATGAATGGACATTTCAGCACTTAATTTAACGGTTTTTGATCTTAATTTAAATTTGGATGGCAGTTTTGCTTACAACTTTCAGACGCCAATTTCCTGACAACCGTTAACGGTAAGTATAGGATGTCCTACATACAAAAAATAATAATAATTTTGTAGAGAACTGAATAAAATTACGAAAAAGAAGGGTTCCACAGCCAAATTTGCTCTAACTTTGGGACTGGATAATTTCTGATGGCTTCGAGCGATTTTATTTCTTGTGTTACAAATTAAGCACCTCAGACATCATGGCGGCAAATAAAAAAATGTAGATTTGCGGAAAATTCTACCTGCTCCCAGCAGACTAAAAAATAATTTTTATGATTTCAATACCAAAAGTTTGGAAATAATCCAAAAAGCTCGAAACGGTTTTCTAATTTTTCGGCCATATTTCTTATTCACAGGGGGGTCTCAAGATAAAACAGCGTTTTAGTCTTGCAGTTATAATTCTGCTCTTGGATCGATTTTTGCGACTAGAGCTCATGTTTCAGTCAGTTATTGTCAGCTTAAAATACATAGACAATTTAAATCGATATACAGAGTTGCATAAAAAATACCCCAAACCAGAATTGCCTCCGAAATCTTTGATTCTGGTGGACGATCTTCAACTAAGCGCAGTTTACTTTTAAGTTTTTCGTTGATTCATGCAACGCCTTGTATTATTGCATCATTAGAATTTGAAAATGGGTTTAAGAACAAAAAAATGACCACTACAAACCACCAAGTTGATTTTTTTAGACCACTTTGTGAGTAAATGAGATGCGCAAGAAATTCAAAAACCTTTTCCCGAGGTATGAGGTCTATCTTAATGCTTGTAGTGTGAAAATACAAAAACAGTTTTTTTGTCCAACTGGGAATTCTTCCCGGAACTTTTACCAATTTTGCATTGTTCCATTTGCCATCCTGTTGAAACTTTACCTGAAGCACTAATGTTTTGTAATTTTTTTAAAGAAGAATTGCACTATATAACCCTTTAAACTGAAATAAAATCGCTCTAAGCGGTAAGAATTTATCCAGTTTCAAAGTTGGTCCAAATTTGTCAGTGTAACGTTGATTTTGTTGAGCAATTCAGTTGGATTTTTTTGGGTCAGTCTGAATAAATAAAAAAATGGTTCAAAAAATGCAAAGAAACACAAATCAACGGTCCCGAGCGATTTTTCGAAAAAGAAACCTGATTTTTAAATAATCATATGCAACTCATTTGTCGCTCGATGTATAAGATTTTATAAATTGGATGTATTTGTTTTGCACTCTATAACATAACATACAGCTATAGCTATAGGACAACAGTTTGCAAGAAGAACATTTCAATAACGTTCTTTTTTTTCGTGTTTTAATTTAATTTAATGTTTCAGGTGTTTTTCTTAATGCTCTAGCCTGATAAAATCTACTCTTATGGCAGAGAAAACGTCTAAAGAGTAAATCATAATTTCGATTTGAGGTCTTTAAATAAAGGATTTCCTCAATCACGCCATTTCGAACGAACTACAAGTTGTCTGCGTTATAGAAAAACGTTTTTTTACACAGAGACAAGAAAAGTTCATTTTCGAAAAGAAAATTTGCTAGTGTATTAAAGTCGACGGTAATTTATTTGAACAAGAACTTTAAATCTGAAAATGTTTGAAAAATCCATCGATTTTTTACAATAAGTTAGATAAGCCGTATGCCCCACAATTTAGAGACAAGTTTAAATAAAGAAAAGAAACAATTTAAAGTTGAATTCAAGAATTACAAAGGAAAATAGATGCTAACGTTTTTGGAAAAACCAAACGACGCGGCATTTCTTGGTGTAAAATATATATGTTGATTCGTTTTTTTTCCACACACAAATATTGGCAATGTGTATTTCGAATATTCCTAGAAGAAAGTTAAACATTTCTTATTTTTCGAAAAATGGAAACGATTCTTGTTTTTAAATTGCATAAATAGTTTAAAAACTATTAATACTTTTCTTGAACGATTGGTAATTTCGAAAGTAAATCTTTGCTGACTATTGTGTAAATGGACTTTTGTAATCTAAAGTTCTAAAGCTCTTCCGACTGCAGTGAAGTATTTTGTAAAAATTAACTAGTTGGGAAGACCGATGTTTTACGCGTTCAAGGATTCTAGACAAGTTGAGATAGCTTTTGAGAGGAGCTGATGAGAGGTAAAAATACAGTTTCACTCATATTAGAAAGACAGGACAGGAGGAAGAAAAACAAAGAAAAAAAAACAAAACAAAATAAAATAGATTATTTATGGAATGAAAATCTTGTCTTGGTCGGTGTGGTTGAAAATTGAGGTCTAGTGAGGGGTTTCAACTTAAGTAAAGCAGTAAATTTTTCAAAAGGAACAGCGCTATATTATGCAGTTAATTTTAAAGAAATTGCGAAATCAATTTTATGTCTATTTTCTCTTGGATACATTTCAGCAAAACAATTTTCTATAAAATTGGAAATTGATGAAAAAATATTTGTATTTCGCTGCCGTTTCAGAATTTTTCAGTCAATTTGTATTGTAGAAACTGGAATTTAAAGTGTTGTTGTCTTATGGAGTTTATTCGTTTGCGAGTTGTGTAACAGTTCCAATGTCTTCATTTTCATATTAATAAAAATTGCCCAGTTGAAATAAATTGCATACTTCTGGAGACGATCCGCTATCCTCTATGTCATTTTTTACAGAATCTAGAAGAAAAAGGTACACAACCCTACGGAAATAGTCGTCAGTATCATGATAATGGAAATTAAATGTCCCATAAGTAATTAACCAATCTACCCATGGCTCCATGTGTTTGTCTGGATACGATTCTGGGGTATTTAATTTCTATATTGTAGTTCTTCAGCTACGCTTTCTTGGACCACTCATTGCATCATGCCGTGAATCTTTCCCCAGAATCCGCTTTTGAGCACCTTCTGAAGACTTGATTTTGCAATAATATACTCAACTTTATAAAAAAATTCCAATTGAATTTAAAATTTGAATTTAAGTAGTGATTTGAGTGCTCTCGCCCTTAACAAGTTGAATGAACCCATCGGTTATGCAAAATTACCACATGCCATTTCTGGGTTAATTACATATTACCTATGCATATCCCAGTTAGAAGCAATCGTTGACCTGCAGATATATTAAAATGCCTGTAACATTATAAACAAATTCTGCTGACAATTGCGAGTGCAAAATTAGATGCAAAATTGGCAAAAACTTAAGTGCATTGTCCGTAGTGTCCAGCAAATGGCACATATCACCTGAACAGTGAATCGAAGAATCAGTTTAATTCCTGCTGGTGAGCAGGAAACCGAGTTTCGTGCTGCAATTCTAGCGGTACTTTGCCCTTTTTTCCTGCTGAAAGTGCAGGATGCCTTGTTGCATGATCGCGATCGTGTGGGTGTTTTTTTTATAAAGCCCTGCTCGATGTTGCCAATTGCTGAAATCTTCCTTGGTAAGTAAACTTTTAAAATATTAATTTTTGCGCTAATTTTTCCACATGATCATTAAGTCATTCAACAAGAAATCACACCAGTAAGTCAGATTCATTGCCCTTAAATATATGTCATAAGAATACTTATTTAAATCCATTACTCTTAGCCACTGTTTTGCAGTAGATACTGGTTTTATTGTAGCATACCAAAGTCGCTTTAGTAAGCATTTTATTAGTTTAATTGGACTCGTTTGTTCTTTATGAAAGATACTTTGCTTTCTTATTTCAATACTCTTATTTATTAAAAGCGCACTTGAATTTTTCAGGTTAATTTTAAGTAGCTTCTGTGCCTTTAAAATCTCCAAATGTTGCAAATCCATATCCAGATACACTACGACGCATTCAATACGAACCACCCTGTATATAAGTTGTTTAAGTTTTCAAAAAAAAATACATAATATGCACTGCGTTTGAAACATAATTCCCAATTATTTCTAACTATTTAAAAAAATTGCAATTAATGTGTGTGTCAAGGTTTTTGAAGATGAAGATTATTTAACATTCAGATTTTCGAAGGTATGTCGTTGACTTAAATTGTATTGGTTTTCCCGTTTTCTCTGTTTAAAAAATATTTTTTAACAGATCTTCAAACTTGCTTTGATTTATGTCGCTTTGCTTTGTTTTAAAGTGGTAATTCGAAAATTGTTTAATTGTTCTTTGCGATGTTTAATTGTTCTTTGCAATCTCGAATGATGCCAGTTTCAAGCCAAACCAAACGGTTCGGTAAATTATTATTTAATTCTGCATTAAACTGCGCAATTTTTCATTCAATTAATCATCCTTCAGAGTAATGAACGACAATTTTACGGATTTTGTCCATTTTTCTTTAGCAAAAGTTTTATTTCTTCACTCAAAAGATAGTTTACCAATTTTTCGAATTGAAAAGTGTAGAACAAAAAGTGTACATTAAAAATTGCCGCATTCAGCAATATTTATTGAAGGCATTATAAATCCGCTTTATAATTTAACAATAAAATAAAAGTAGATTTTCAAGTGACAATGCCAATTTAGTTAAAGAGAAAATTTGGGAAAAATATGAGTTTAACTCTGTATAATTTTTTTTCCAATTGTTTTGCCATTTTTTAGTTATTGTTAATACAATTAATGTTCTTTAAAATTTTTCAAAAAAACTTTTATTGTTAAAATGTTGACACATTTTAACAATATTTTTACTACTATTATTTATTATTTTAAAATGTATTAACTATTATTTTAAAATGTATTAAGAAAAAACCAGTTTCAAAGACAGTCTTTAATGGCCTGAAACTCTGCACGAATTTTTAACAGATCTTTAAACTTTCTTTGAGCTATATCGCTTTGTTTTGTTTTAAAGTTGTAATTGGAAAATTGTTTAATTGCCCTTTGCTTTGTTTCAAAAGCTTTGCTTTGTTTTTTGTCTACTCTTGATCTGAAAATAAACCTCGAATGATGCCAGTTTCAAGCCAAACCAAACAAAGCATTCCAGAATGTATTTGATAAATGATAAATAAGCTATTAAGAATGGTACCAGAAATATGCCTGCAATTTAATGTATTCCAAACGTACTAGCAAGTTAATTCTGAAAATAAATATATAAAAACAATTCTGAAAATAATCATAAGATATAGTAATATATAAGTAATAAAGTATTTAATATCACAAAAGAGTTCCTGTAAATACAAGTCCGAAAATTTTGTTTTCATCTTGACTCGATATTATTTAATTCTGCATTAAAATGCGCAATTTTGCATTCAATTAATTGTCCTTTAGCGTAATGAATGACAATTTTACTGATTTTGTCTATTTTTTTAGCAATTTTTTTTTTTTTAAACAATAGTTTCAATTCTTTACTCAAAAAATAGTTTTCCAATTTTTCGAATTGAAAATGAAGAATCAAAAAAGTGCACATTACAAATTACCAAATGCAGCAATATTTATCGAAGACCTTATAAATCCGCTTTATAATTTAACTATAAGGTAAAAGTACATTGATATGTTTTTCAAATGACAATTCCAGTTTAGTTAAAGAGAAAATTTGGGAAAAAATGAATGTGTTTAACTCTTTAATTTTTTCTGCCATCTTTAGCTTATTACTAACACTTTAGTTAGGGCTCGGAATCAAACTCGAATAATTCGAGTATTCGAATATTCGAATATTCAAAAGGCGAATAATTATGTCTAGTCATAACTCGAATATTCGAATACTGGAGTACTCGAATATTCGAATACTCGAGTATTCAAACTCTCGAATATTCGAATATTCGTTAGATATTCGAGTATTCGGATAATTTTACTATTCGAATAAACCACTAAACGAGTATTCGAATTTCAGATTTTTTAAAATTCCGAGCCCTACTTTAAATCACTGTAAAATTTTTCAAAAAAATCTTTTTTGATTGTTAAAATGTTAGCGTATTTTTATTGTTCTTATTTCATGTACAAAACGTCCATATGAAAAAGTACTTTGCTTCCATCTTAATTATTATGTTTTCAAGCAGTATTGCAAATTTTGTATAACTATAATTAAATGTTTATTATGCAAGCTAACCCATTATTTTCAAATATATTAAGGGAAACCCTGTCGTCAGTATACTCGACGTAGCATTTAGGTAGGATTTATATAGTGGGATTTTTAGGACATTCTAATTCTACACGACAAAACTACTGAAAAAGCGACTGAAAGACTCCAAACACTAACAAACAACACAATGACATGGTTTTATAAATGGAGACTAACGCCAAACGCGACAAAAAATCAACTTCTGCTCACGAACCACAGACTCAACGCTGACTCCCCCACAATAACTGCAGACGGAAAAATAACACAACCGAAAAACGACGTAAGGTACCTTGGGATTACAATAGACCACAAACTGAAATTCACTAAACACACACGAACCATCAGAACAGAAATGATAAAAAGAACAAAACACTTTCGATCACTAACATACAAGGACAAAGGAATTAGTACAAATACCGCGACAAAAATATATAAAGCGATCTGCAGACCCCTCTTGGACTACGGACATATTCTCATAGCCAACGGAACAGAAAGGACAAAACGATACGTACAAACAA